TCCAGGTCACTGAAGGCCACGTGAGGTCATGAGCAAACGGAGCTGCTCCGCCGCGCCCTTCACGCTTCCTTATCCGCTTATAGCAGCAGGGTTCCTAGGAGGAAACAGACAGGTGAAGGTGCTTAAATTAACTACGCCATCTACGACCGACGCGAGTTGTTATTCACCAGTGGGGAATTTATGTTGCTTGCTGGATAGTTCATTTCCTTTACATAGGTGATTTTTATTCCAGATTTTTATTCCAGTCGGTACATGCAATATGAATGTCGAAAACCTGTTCCGCCAAAATAAATACCATAATAAGAATGATATAAAATAATTAGTATAATATAAAGTTTGCACTCGAACCACTTTTCATAGTAAGACATATTGAACTGAGTCAAGGTCGCAACCGACCAACATGGAGCGAAAACGGTGGCATTTTCCCTCCCGTCACCACAGTCAAGCAGCCACTGAGGATCATGGGGTGGGGATGTTCTCTCACCAGGCTAACTCTCCATGTGATCCCAGCAAAATAAATAATGAGGGTACTTTATCTGGAGAACATCCTCAAAAAGTCTTGCATTGATGCCTTTAACAGGATGACCATAGGAGGATCAATTCTGGAGCAGTATTTGGTTGAAAAAAGGTCAGAGGCCATCTAAATGCACGACAATGCCCAATGGCATGCCTCCAAAGCCACCACTGCCTGGTGTTAAAAGAACCTGCAAGAATACTGGGGGAAGGGTAAGTGACCAGGCAACAGCCCTGACCTAAATCCCATTGAAAATCTCTGGTAGATTCTCAAGGAAGAGGTCAAACAGATGAAACATGCCACAAGCTGCAAGGAGCTCATCCAAGAACTCAAAAGACTTGCATCCAGGCATTCGCAAAAGTGTAGCAAGAAGTATGCCCTAGCGAATGCAATTGGTTATGTATATGAAGGGACATTAAATTAGTAAATGTATTAGTTTCATCACACTCTTTGGAGGGGTATACTATCAATTTTTCCAGTGTTGCAATACCTTTCACCCATACTGTACAAAGAGCTCGAGACATCGACTCAATTCACGACTTCTCGTTAACTCGGATTCCAGTCTTTCCTTTCAATTTCTTCCACAAGAGAGAGATGCTTTCTAAAAGTATGTCCACGGTGGAAATGGAGATGACGAGGCAGATGCCGACGATCCCACCGATGCTCGACACCAGGTCCTCCAGGTTCACTTTCTTCTTTTCTACAAAATGGGGCACCAACGGGAAGAAAAGCGCATTTGGTTTTCTCCAGCGTAAATAAAGATCGTGAGAGGGATCCATTCCGAACCCGTTTGGATGGAAAGCTGAAAAACATTCCCGTCCAATTTGCAACAGTTTGGATGGCAACGACGTGGTACTCGACTGGATCGCATCGATTTGGGCAGTCGCAATCGATGTTGCTTTCTTCGAATATCGATCCAATATGAGGAACTGCTTTTCTCCACTGTCGGTGTCAGCACATTCTGGTTTTCTTGCTTCAATTTCATTAGTCAGTGATGATTTAGGCATTGACGATTCGGGTCTTCTTGAACCTTCTCCCAGAAGCATATCTCCGTACACTAAAAATAACGTAATTTTGCTACTAAATAGCTCTGCGAACATTGCTACAAATCTACTCCTCCCTTTTTCCACCGAAATTTCACCATTCAGAATCAACTGACCCTGGTGTAACTGTAACTGTCGTTTGTGGAACAGGGTTTTTCCTTCCTGTCCAGTTGATGAAAGTATTCAGGACGAATAAGCACATCCGCAGGCGAACCTGCATGTAGGGTGAACCTTTCGGCTGCCAAAGCGCCGAAAATGTTGGAGAAGGCCTCCCTCCGGTCGTGGATGAATACATTCACCCTCTGTGGGCTCCCCTGTTCAAATACACATTCATGCTCAAGAAAAGAAGGTTCGAGCTGGGTACAGCATTGAATGGTGGGGAGGAACTAGGAGTAGTTTTAAGGAGTGACTCGAACTCATTAAAGGCCGAAAAGGTTCTGCGTTTCAGCCTGAAACGTTACATCGATAGTTACATTTGGCACCAAACGATACTCGAACAACTTATTTGACATGTTTTTCCTGAGTTTGCAAGAAAGGCCTTGATATTGGAGATTTCCTATACAAATGCAAGAGGAACCACTTCAACAAACATGTACAGTTGGTAAATGCACAACCATTGCAATAGTGGGAAGTTCATAGGAATGAACCAGAAAGTACTTATTGACTACAATTACGCAATCAGTGCCAATTTTGATGTGTCCAGTTCCATACGGTGCTTGAATGAAAGAAGGCTGGTAAACCTTGAGAAAAAAAAAACAAGACTAGGACATACGAGGCCGCTGTATGGCAAAAAGTTGGATCCGAAGAACTCAAACACATTGAGATCGAATGCGTCTGTGCCAGTCTTGATGTCCTTATCCGAGGACAGGGTGAAACATTTTTTGTAGGATTAGAAGAAGGAATGGTTGTACCCGTATGTGAAAAATGTTCTTTCACTCCATTGCGTACCTGTAGATCAGAAAGACATCGATGACTATTGAACATGAAGTCAGTGATGCTGGTGGGTATTACAAGGCAAAAAACCTTTTTTTAAAAATGGAATTCGGGTTACGCAGATAACCATTCATGAACTTTTCTGTTCTCAGCTGAACATACCCTTCGAATCTTTCCATATCGTCTCCCCATTCGTCTTCGTTATGGTCCAGTCCGACTGTGTAAAGTCATAGAAGTTCCCTTGCACGAAGCCTTGCCACGTTATAGACAGAGGTTCGAACAATGAGGCATGTGAATTATTTCCTTGACTTTCCAGATTCTCATTTTCCCACGTTTTCCAACGCATGACATTAATTGAGGGGCACGGACAGAAGGTGAAGGCTGGGCATTCAGCTTATCAGCTCGCTTGCTCACGTACAATGTTGTGACGGGCACTGACCGATACTCTTCGATCATCACCACCACCTGGAAGATGGGAAGAACATGATATCGTTATGATGTTCCTCTGCCGATGCCTTTGAGGTTTGGAGTATCTCACTGGCTGGAAGGCCAGGGCCGCGGACACGGTGATCGTGATTCCCCTGAGCATCCTCCAAGCGACGTACTTCATCTTTCTTTGACCGCCTGCCTTCTCTTTGAACGTGGGAGGTACCTGTATTTCTTCCATTCGATCCACTACCTTAAGAAGGGTCTAAGATTTCATGAGGCTCACCTTCTGCCATGTGTGGTACCGAGTGGCGATTCTAAGCTGCCTTCTTAACCAAGTTTGATGTTTTCTCAAGTTCAGATTTTGCCGCAGCGATCACTTCGCAGTGCCGCTTCACTATTAATCCATAGATTGGCCTTAACTTCATGTTATTGCTGTTTCCATAGAGACGCGCATGACGTCATGACATTTAAGAGGAGTGACCCATAAAGAACCCATTACCGCCTTATTGGGATCCAAAATCGCTACTGGAAAGATTATATCATCATCACTTTCATATGGACAGGCCATGCTCTTGATGGGCATTCGTTCCGTTATGCAACATACACATTCCTTTTCAGCATTCGCCGTCTTCGCACGACTCGATACAGCGTATATGAAAACCACGGTTTCCAGGTTCCATATATTTATTCTTTCTTTCTTTACGCCTACAAAATATGCACTGTGCGAAGCTTAACATGTTTTCAGGATTTTTTCAAAAATTCCTCATGAATTCATTGTTTTAAGACATTGCCAGGGGTTATGATTGAAAAGGAATCGGAATAATGGACGGGGAGTTCCAATTATTTTTCCATGCCTATATCGCCCCTTACAGCCCACTTTCTTTCCAATGAGTGGGCAATATTGACAAGTTGTCAACTTCCAACAGGAGACCATTAGCGTGGGTTGTGTGAGGCTCCCGGGAGCGTTCTTGATCTGATCACCTGCCTCTCCACGTCACCCTTTTCAAAGATGGAATGGAATTTTAGCTGAGAATATAGCTTTTTCTACATGTTTTGCAATGGTATAGCAATCTGACGTTAGGCATCGAAGTACCCCAACGTACACTAAGGACTACTGGCCATGTTAAACACCATGGACACAGGGGTTTGGTGCTTAATCCATAGGAAGTTGTGCCCATGCAAGGACTCAACCACACTAGGGTTGGTTCAGTTTATACAGAGATACAGAACGCCCGTGCCCCTTTTGGCCTCCCTTCATCTCTATAGCGAAAAGTGTCCCAGTACATATACAGGGTGATCCTAAAGTCAGGAAACTCAAACATTTATTAGCGATGCCCATACCATACAACAAAAATTATTCCAACTCTGTGCAAACATATTTCAACATGTGTGTGTTCACATGAAATCACATGATATTCTGAAAGTGTCCACCTTTGGCATCTAGACATAACTGCACTCTTCTACATTTATTTCCCGCCACACGTTCCAACATATCAACGGAAATTCCGCCCATGTTCTCTCTGACGTTGCCCTTCAATTCTTGAACTGAATGGCGANGAAGCGTGCTGCGTGTGCATGGCGGAGGGCAGGTCGGCTCGGCGAGGTCGTGTTGCAGGCCGTTGCTTTGACCGAGACCGGATTTGGAGCCCCGTGATTCCCGTTCGCCTCCTGGTTCAGGATTCGTCTCCTTCCAACACGTGGGACTGTGATGAGACTGTGAAGAGACCGTGATTGGACTGTGATTGCTTCTCCCCACCTACACGCCGCTGCCTTGCCGCTTCTTTATCTGTATTTTATTTCCTTTTATATTTTATATCATTGGCCTTGAGGGTATTGGCTCGTTATCTGTGGATCATGTTGTTGCCCCCCTTTTAGTGGCCCCTTTTTACTATTTATCTTTTATAGCTTTATTGTCTTTTACAAAAGCTCTTTTGAGGGTTTTAAATATATATTATCAGGCTTAGAGAGGGACTGATCTTTTATTGAACCACGCCCTCGGTGCAAGTGAGATTCCAACGACACCTGGAATGGGCCACCCACATGGGTTGGCTGGGTAGGCGTCACAGATGCCTTTGAGGTTTGGAGTATCTCACTGGCTGGAAGGCCAGGGCCGCGGACACGGTGATCGTGATTCCCCTGAGCATCCTACAAGCGACGTACTTCATCTTTCTTTGACCGCCTGCCTTCTCTTTGAACGCGGGAGGTACCTGTATTTCTTCCATTCGATCCACTACCTTAAGAAGGGTCTAAGATTTCACGAGGCTCACCTTCTGCCATGTGTGGTACCGAGTGGCGATTCTAAGCTGCCTTCTTAACCAAGTTTGATGTTTTCTCAAGTTCAGATTTTGCCGCAGCGATCACTTCGCAGTGCCGCTTCACTATTAATCCATAGATTGGCCTTAACTTCATGTTATTGCTGTTTCCATAGGGACGCGCATGACGTCATGACATTTAAGAGGAGTGACCCATAAAGAACCCATTACCGCCTTATTGGGATCCAAAATCGCTACTGGAAAGATTATATAATCATCACTTTCATATGGACAGGCCATGCTCTTGATGGGCATTCGTTCCGTTATCCAACATACACATTCCTTTTCAGCATTCACCGTCTTCGCACGACTCGATACAGCGTATATGAAAACCATGGTTTCCAGGTTCCATATATTTATTCTTTCTTTCTTTACGCCTACAAAATATGCACTGTGCGAAGCTTAACATGTTTTCAGGATAAAAAAGTTTTTAAGGAGTACTTAAGTAACAAAATTCTGTAACGGTCCCCAATACTAACTTTTCCTTAGCCTTATTACCTGCCCCTCAAGGTTAATAAAAAGGTACGGATATAGCGGGGAATGTCGGCACTTTCTTTCCAATGAGTGGGCAATATTGACAAGTTGTCAACTTCCAACAGGAGACCATTAGCGTGGGTTGTGTGAGGCTCCCGGGAGCGTTCTTGATCTGATCACCTGCCTCTCCACGTCACCCTTCTCAAAGATGGAATGGAATTTTAGCTGAGAACATAGCTTTTTCTACATGTTTTGCAATGGTATAGCAATCTGACGTTAGGCATCGAAGTACCCCAACGTACACTAAGGACTACTGGCCATGTTAAACACCATGGACACAGGGGTTTGGTGCTTAATCCATAGGAAGTTGTGCCCATGCAAGGACTCAACCACACTAGGGTTGGTTCAGTTTATACAGAGATACAGAACGCCCGTGCCCCTTTTGGCCTCCCTTCATCTCTATAGCGAAAAGTGTCCCAGTACATATACAGGGTGATCCTAAAGTCAGGAAACTCAAACATTTATTAGCGATGCCCATACCATACAACAAAAATTATTCCAACTCTGTGCAAACATATTTCAACATGTGTGTGTTCACATGAAATCACATGATATTCTGAAAGTGTCCACCTTTGGCATCTAGACATAACTGCACTCTTCTACATTTATTTCCCGCCACACGTTCCAACATATCAACGGAAATTCCGCCCATGTTCTCTCTGACGTTGCCCTTCAATTCTTGAACTGAATGGCGATTGTTTTTGTAGGTTCGCTCCTTTACATATCCCCAAAGAAATAATCGGGTGAGGTAAGATCTGGGGACCTCGGTGGCCGAAGTCCCTTTGAGATCACCCGTTCCTTGAACACAGCTCGAACATGTCGCATGCTCTCCTTGGATCTTTGGAGCTGTGCATCTTGATGGAAAAACCCACAATTTCATTCGACAAACCTGGTCTCCCGCTGCGAGGTCTATCGAGAACGCTTCCTGTGTCACGAAATCGATTCACCAGCTTCCAGATTGCTGACTTGGCTGGCACCACGCGAATGTTGAACTTCTTTCGCAATGCTTCCTGAGTCGGCTTGTAAGATTTTTTATTCAGATAAGTCTAAACAAAGAAAATACGCTGCTCCAACGTGAACACCATGCTTCAAACTGAATGACTAATTAAAATTATGGCTTGACACTTGTGTATTGAGAAAAAAACATCCTCCTACATATATCGTACAAATTATGAACTATAATTGTGCATTGTAGGAAGGGTCCATTTTGAATAGTATAGACAAAGCATGTAAATGTTTGAGTTTCCTGCCTTTACGATCACCCTGTATTGAAGTTCTCATGCCTTCCTGAATAACTTATTACACATTTAAATAAGGTGAACACGGACCGCACAATTTAAAATATCCGCATGAGGTCTTTCATTAATATACAAGTTCCTCCATAATTAGTGAAACAGGACGAGAAAGTCGAACAGGCTGAGGCATGAAACTCAGAATATAGCCTGTGCCAGCCTACTTTGTTATGCCCGAATCCGGGCAGAGAAGCATTTTCTCAATCTAGTATCCATCAAACACAGTGTCCTCGTTCAATGAGGGATTCGCTATGGAGCATGCAGCATGCATAAAAAACTAAAATCTCATCCAGCTTGAATGATCATAATTAACCTATGGCTCCTCCCTATTGCTTTGCCTTCAGATTCACCAAACAAGTAAAATATTTTTTAAATCTACCTGTTGGGGTAAAACCCCTAAGCTCACCAGTCCAACCCCATTCATGCGAGTGTTAATCACTGGATTCCCCCTCTGCCCGTCTGTAATCCCCCACGCATGCAACCCCACTCATCAGATGAGGATCAAGTATTATTTTTATGAATTGCTTCTCAGTATATTGGAAAGCAAAGACCTTTGGATTTAATTTCTTAGTTTTCGAAGGCGCACATCAGAACGTAATGGAGCAGCAAACGTAGCAGACGGAGAAGCATCATCCAGTGCTCCCGATCCTCGGCAACGGACTCAAGCTTAGAAAAGAGGATTATTACATTAATGGAAAAATTATATGGTTTTTCTATCGAAGGGAAAAAATAATTCAATTTATATGCAGAATACCTGTTCATGGGCATCTTCAACTAAAAGTTCAATGTTTCAATAGAACACTGGCACCATGAGACATCGGCCAAATATTGCGTAGAACAAAATTCACAGACTGGGATCATACCGCATGCCAACCTTGCGGCACCTGTTCATCGTTACGTTGGTTTGGGAAAGTGCGAATCTTATGAAGTATTGGAGGTAGGATTACATTCATGGAAAGGAATCCAATTTTTTTATAGCGCGTTTCCCCCCCCCCTCCTCTTCCCCCGTCGGCTTCCAGGCCACTATTCTTTTCGTCACTGAGGTCAACGTTCATTTGGTAAGTGTCTAGCCTCCATTTTCCAATAGAAAAGGACATGCCGTTCAATTCGCAGCAGGTGCGGCGAGTCTCGCCTCATCCTTCCACTTAGGTAAAAACTCGCTTAAGAGGTCAACCGGTAAAGGGTGGACGACTAAGTAGCCCCCTTAAGGGTAAAGTATACCTAAGGCCTTTTAAAGAGAGCCTATACAATATAAAGATAAAAAAATTTCCATTTCCATGGACGCCATCACGTGCGGATTTTCACATCTGCTGAGAACCACACAATAGACTAAAAGGAGCATCCGCAGAATCGAATCCATTTTCCTGTCCTCCCTTCGACTCACTTCCCAGTCTCACCAACTTGGAGATGCCCGGATCCCTGGACTTCCTCTCCCTTTTCGTCCTCCTCCTCGGGCCCATTCTCGGGACCAGCGGCCAAAACCCCTGCCCCGACCCCGATCTCATACTTCCTTGATTCTGCGGCGACTTTCCGGGTCCTACGGTGGTGGTCAGGCGACCTCGAGTGACGAAATATTCTTCGTTTTCGTATTCCGCATATTTCAGTTTTCTTGTTTTTCTTGTTGCTGATCCTCTTTTCCAGGAAGACGAAAAGTGTGAGCTACCATTTCAGAATCACGAAATTCAATTGTATTTGGTTATTTTCGTACTTTGGCAAATTCAAGCACGAGATCATCGAGGTTTCAATGTGAAAACATGCAATGTTGACAGGATTGCTTAATCGAACATTAGAATGATGTGTCTGCACTTCGGGGTCCTTTACTGTACAGCACCTTGTCTCACGACGGGACGAACGTAGCGCCTCACAAGCATTGCTGTCTTAACTGTGGTAATGTCTCAATGAGACGATCCTTACGTCTAAGGGCAATTTCTTGACATGTCTAATGCCGGAATGACATCTGGATGGGCGGCCAGTGGTTACACATGGTATCCCGGAATTGGTTGAACATTGTCCATCCGCCTAGCCAATGGCTTAAAAAAGCATGATCTTATAGATTGAACTCATTCTATGAGACTTTTGGCTTTGGGGATCTCAAGTATTGGGTTGGAAAGAAAGTCTTGCAACACGCTGCGCAAATTTTTCAAAATGTTATAACTTTACTGAAATGCAATATTAGTCTACAATGTAATGACCATTGTTGTCTATGACATGTTCCCAACGCACGGGTAACTTGATGGGGCGAAGAGTTGCTCGTTCGATCGGAGCCATGGCTGGCAACTAATGGCAGAAGCCGCCTTATATACCCCGAGGGTAGTATCTTCGAGAACATTCCAGCATATATAAATACAAAGCCCCGCCCATCATTCCTTTGAAAATTTTTTAAAATAGTTTTAGAAAGTGTTGCAAGACTTTCTTTCAAACCCAATATATTGTGTATTGTGTAGCACTTGCCATCTTAACCTCAATCATGCTATTCACCATCATGTGGTCGTGATAGCTCCTGTCAGCTGTCCATCATTGTCGATCCCGAATGCAAGCAATTGTCAGCATGAAGGAAAGTCCCATTAAACAATTGTATCCATTGGGCAAATGCTGGTGGCCATATCCGATGACCCCATATTCCTCTTTCCCATGATCTCATTATTGTTCACATGAAATATTACGACTCTGCGATGCATGGTTTCCATATTATACCTGTCAAGAAACGGTAAGAAACGTTCCACTTACCCTGTATTGGCAAAGTAACAATCCTGTCTCCACATCTTTATGAAGGCCTTTTCCTCATGGCATCCATCTCACTTGGTCTTAACAAAACCAAATTGTTGGAGTGACACAAAGGCAATTGCATTAACAGTATAAACATGGCAGCAACATAATGCCCAGTAATCGCAAATAACTTTGAATCAGCCGTACTTCACAAATGAGAATAAATCGTAAAACCGCACGTTTATCTTGACCTCATCAGACCGCCGCAACACTTCATAATTAGATCGACGCTTAACATTTGGCAGGTAACCAACCCACCCCAAACTCGTTTGAGCACCTTTCCTACTCCAGTCCTTTGGAAGACATGACGCTTGCCGAAGTCATTAGTGTTCGGTGGGTTCAGAATCAGCAATTCCCTTCTGCCGCACTCGCCACGATTCCGCTGGTGCAGACTGTGACCCACCACCTTGCCAAATGGGTGTGTTACTTCGAAAAATAGTTCTTAATAAATATAGTTTTTTTGCTTGACTTCAGTGAAGCATGAGAAGTCGCATCAACATCTGTGTCACTTCCATTGATTTTACTTGCTAGTTTTTACTTGTCCATTATACTTAGCAGGGAATCGGTCAGTTAAAAAAATCAAGGCAAGTGATGAGTGGGTGTCTCTAAACAGCAAAAAATTGTCTATTGCATGTATCACAAGAATGGTTAGATATTTTCCTGGTTTCTACGAATAATGTCATTGGTTATATGGAGGTGGAGACGCTTGTGATCTCCGGAGGTAAGCCAAATGCCATGAGAAATGATGATGCTTTGCTTGGAAGTCTATGTAAATCATTCATGCTAGTAAATGAGCGTCGGGGTTGACTACACTTACCTCTGTGAATAGAGTAACTGTGCTCGCAAGCACCTCGTGAACAGTGAGTCGTGAACAGTTCACAAAGTGTGTGAATAAAACATCCCTGATTTGAAGCGGAGGATGGTGTGAAATAAACTATTTAATTACAACTGCAATAGGATGGTTTTTCAAATTGTCCAAAGAAGTAACCACTGGTTTTTTTTTAAATCCCCTTACTCATATTCCTGGAATTCCTTTATTGGAGATATACAGGTACATACCGGATGATTTTTCTTTATTCATGGGATCATTATGTATATTTATCATCTTTGAAAAAATATAGTTAGATGCAGGGATTTCGCCTCAAGAATCCATAAGCATGTGAAATGTATACTCGATGAAAGGACATGTTCAATATGTCCTCGTCTGTGTCCAATCATGTGTCGTAGGCGTTTGATGTAATTCTGCATTACGGTTGCCATTTTTACTGGAAAATGGAGTAGAATTCACTTTCTGTGACCGACTTAAGGTTTCCCAAAGTACAGAGATTTGACTCGAAGACTTTGTTCTCTACAGTAGGTCGTCCCAGAGTAAATAATCACATGGATTGAGATCAAGAACCATGCCGACCCACTGTTTTGGACATCAGGGAATCTTGTTTGCAGTGTTCTAGCACAGAGGTTCTTGTGCTGGAAGTTTAACACAACTGCCGCTGTGTTGGTATGGCCACTATTGCCTCTCGGTCGCAATCCATATGATAGTTTCCTCGGGGGATACCTAAAGAACAATTCTTCGACACAAATCCATGCGCCTCGGGAGACCGGAAGGCAGTCACATATCGTGAACTGAACTTCATGTCCCTGAATTATCTACGGTCGTAGTACAGATTTGCACCATATGCCAACGACATGTGATTGCGCACAGACAAGGGCACATTGAAAATGTTTTTTCATGGAGTAACTCATAACTCCCCCATGTTCATGGATTCTTGAGGCAAAATTGCATGTACCTAATTACATTTGTTTCAAAATGGTAAGTATATACTATATATTCGTCCCACGAATAAAAATCACCCTGTATAAAAAGTATGCAAAACATATTCAATACTCAATGTTACTCCTCTCCGTTTGCAGGTGGTTTACACTGACTGAAAACCAGGCGGTGGAATCGTTATCTGAAGGAATCTTTGGTGATGTCACTTTCGAGAGAATACACGTGAGATATACCTCCGTGCTCAGCCTCCATCCTGCTGCAATTTTTCCCTCGAAGGATCGACTTCATTACCTGGAGATCATGGATAGTGTCTTAGAAGAGATTCCATGGGACGTTCTCCAGGAATTCACGCTTTTGTAAGACCTCAGCCTCAATGCATTGACCACTTTCCCCTACTGTAATTTCTTGGGATTCTCGCAACTTTTCGTCCCATATTACACTACATTGGACTCAATAATTCATCCATGGTTCAAATCCGTCGGAGGCCTTCTCTCACCAGTCAGTTTTGCAATCTTTAGTTATGTAATTATATGCATAATATATAATGTATAGTAAATTAATACAAAATATAAGAACGATATATAGAACATACAAATTTAAGGTAGAAGAGAGAAAGAGCGCAAAAATACAAAAATAATATTATTCTAATAGTGGGCTTAATTCAGGTCTGAAAGACGAAAAAAATCAGGCAGGTTTCACTCACATCCTAGAACATGGGTTAAGTGGAAAACATTTATTAAAACCTAATTTGTAAACTGTAGGCCTGAAAATGTTCTTGTTGCTCATTTGCTACAAACAGCATTTTCAGGTTTCTAACCCACGCTGCATGGATGCTAGAGAGCTCAGTCGGCCCGTCAACATTCGTACATACCTCAACGCAAAAGAAAGTGTAAAAATACAATGATCCTGTACCCTGGATTAACGGAAAGTTTAAGAAAATTAAATCAAAAGCGTCAATTTGCCATACGACGAAACCAGATTGGTTAAAATTGATTACCAGCAGGAGTGTATGGCACCTAGCGACCGCATAGTTGCTAGGTATAAGAACCGAAGGTTGCACATCTGCTACGAACAGATTTTCCTCAGAAGCTCAATACCTGCGCATTCTAAAACTCTTTATTTGCTATGTAGCATATTTGCTACGTCATGCATTAACGGGTTAAGTTCGAAAAAATAAAAATCAACCTTAGGGCTCAGGAAGCATTCACAAAACTGCGTTTGTTTCCTGAAAAAAGCTCCTATGCTATGAAATTAAAATTTACATTCAATCTTTTAGATTCGACATATTCGGTCTTTTAGGGCTTACATGAGATCCCTAAAGTTTATCACACCGTATTCTCTTGCCAAGTCCATCAATATATTTCACAATTTTGACACGGAATGCACAGAATTGTTCTCAGCAGTTCACACAGAAATTGTCATGTCGGGGAAGGCGAAACAAAAATCACAGACGAAAAGACGAGATCTCAGGCTCAAAAAGAAAAGAGCTCACATCCCAGACCAGATTCGGGCTACTCTGATTGACTTTGTAGTTAATCGTGGATTAACACTTACTGAAGCAGGGCAACGAGTCCAACCTCATCTCTCCAAGTCCACAGTCTCCACCATGATCTCTAATTTCTCGACAAGAGTCTTATTATATATTTAAATTGTATACCAATGTGATCCTGCGCAACTTCATTCGGGTAGGACAACTCGTAAGGCTCGTGCTGGAGGAAGGCCAAGCAGGCTGACAGCTGACCAAGAACAAGCCATTGTGGCGATGGTTCGCAAAAGGAATGACTTGCGACTCTCGGAAATTCAACAAATGATCGCTGACGATGAGGAAACCTTCTCAGGTATACAAACACTGAGTACCTCCACAATCGCCAGAATCCTGAGTAAGTATCAGTGCACAATGAAGCAATTGTACCGTGTGCCATTCCGAAGAAACACGGACTACGTGAAAGAAAAGCTTTTTAAATACGTCCAGGTACACAAACTTTGGGAATATTAGATAGCAACCTTTCTTAATCGGAGAGTCCCACCTTTCCCAGTCACCGATAAATTTTGTCATGAAATTATCCAAAACATCCCTTTTTCAGTAAATCATGGAGCTTGATTTCTTTGCTTCAGGAAATGTCCAATATGTGTTTTTTGACGAGGCCGGATTCAATCTGAATAAGAAACGGAGACGTGGTAGGAACATCATAGGAGAGAGGGCTAGAAACGCCAGCAGAGCGGGGTGGAAACATAACCATATGTGCAGCTATGTCTGAGGATGGTTTCTTGTATCATGAAGAAGTTTTGGGGGCTTTCAATTCCAAGAGTCTTCTGGGCTTCCTTGATCATGCGTACGGGGAGCTGCAAGGAGATCCTGATGTGGTGGAGAATACGCAAGACCAAACTGTCTATGTTTTCATTTGTGACAATGTTCGATTTCACAAGACAGCCGAAGTGAAGAAGTAGTTTGAGGATCGTTCTGATTGCATGCAGGTTTTCCTGCCCCCTTATTCGCCATTCCTAAACCCCATCGAGGAGTTTTTTTTCAGCGTGGCGATGGAGGGTCTATGATCATGATGCTCGTGATCGCGTGGCCCTTCTTGAAGCCATGTCGGAGGCATGCTCTGCCATTCGAACTGAAAGCTTTCGGGGCTATCTGCGCCACTATCGTCAATACTTTCATCGCTGCATAGCAAAGGAAGACATCATAGCTGATGTAGATGAGATGGTTTGGCCGGGAAAAGACAGATTAGGCGAAGAATGAACCCCAGGTCTTGCATAGAAAGGTATTCCAGTTACAGCAGCTGCAATACTCTCCTTTAAAGTTCACTCACTCTTGTACATTGTGCCGTTCGTTATTCGTTATAGAGGCTCCAAGTGCATTTCTATACTAGAAGCCGTGACAGGCAACATGGGTATATTGTACCTCCAGAATCTGAGAGTGAGAGTTTTCCCCTCAGTCGCACATTTTCATTTTATTCTCGTTTGATGTAACGTGAGATTTATTACAATAAAAATATAGTACTCCGCATTTTATCGCATGTAGTTACATTGAGTGAAATAAGGAAACTGGTCGAAGGCTCTCTTTCCGCTTCTATTCCTTCCTCCTGAAGAAATATTATAACAGGAATGCATTTTGAGATGAGGGGTGTCCCCTTCAGAATAATTATTTAGTGCTGTCGCTTATTGGCAGTCCATAGCCAATCTTACAATAGCCATTCTTATCCCCTTACGTTATAAAATTGAAGAGAATGGTCTTTTGACTGACGGAAAAGAGCGCAGAGTTCTGCGGATCGTACGTTAAGTTTTGAAAAATGTCCGTCAAGATATGAAAAAGGGCTTTAGCAATTGGAAAAAAACTGTAAGTCCCTGCAATTCAGGACAGGTGAGAGTTTCAACAAAAACGTCTCTTCCTGCTCCACCTTCCATTGCAAAAGTAGATTGAATATGGTTGGTCTAATCCCATGCTCTTATTTCCTGGCTGTTTACCCAGCGAAACACAAAAATAGATTTTTGTCTTTTTTGTAAGAGATTCTACGAGGCCGTGTAGAAAATGTGTTTCCTGTTCCGTTTACTGGGATTGTCGTGAACCGTTTGAAAGGGCGACGAACCTACCACACCGGTCCCTTTGCTTGAAACTTCAAGTTCAGGTATGAGAGCGCATTCCGCTGAGGTGAGGTCCACCTCCTCCGGAGTGTCAAAGTCATAGTCTGGGACGAGGAATGCTGCGAATCCACCCGTTATAGTCGATTGACTGCTTCAGGAAATAATATGGAAGGACGGTCCCTTTTTCGGCGAAATCCTCCTTTTTGATGGTGATTTCCAAGGTGACCTGGCTATTACTTCCTTCCAGTCTAGCAGCATGGTCACTGAATGTCCGTTGCCCACTCCTGCTTGAAGTACAGTCCGTTGTGACCGGATATATTCAAACTGGAACTCTCTTCCAACGTGTGGATCCTTGTAGAGGAGAAGGCATTTCCCAATCGGCGTATTCAGCTCGGCGACCGTGCGCTGCCCACCGTGGACAAGTTCGGTGAAGTTCATCGGGATTTCGTCGCAGGAATCCTCGCTGGTCATTTTTGGTAAAGAAGTTACCATCGGTGAAGCACGCGAATATGACGAGTTGGTTATTATGTGCTCCAGGAAGGAAGATAAGATCAATAAGAGCGGCGAAGTATCACGTCGCTCGGAGGGTTAGACGTGTGAATATGTCAGTGTGGACACAATCGATTGCGACGATGAACAGGAAAGACATAACTTTTTGATGGAGTTCTTCAACACTACTTTCTTCGGGAATGTTTCCCCATATACTCAAGCTTCAAGTGGGGGTAATTTTAATGCTGTTTAGAAACCTGAACTAAAGACTCTGCAACGGCAATAGACTGATAGTCACTGCGTTAAAACCCAACGTCATATTTGCCGAAGTCCTTACTCACTCCCCTCAGGGACAGAGCGTTTCTTGTGCCCCGAATCGAACTCGCACCTTCCGATCTGGATATGTCTTTCACCTTTCGGCGAAGGCAATTTCCACTCCGTCTGGAATTTGTCTGGAATTTGAAGTGGTATTTATGGGAGACAGGGTGGTTGATGGGAACCTCACTTACATCCAGAGTACAGGGTAGATCATGAGCAGAAAAAAGAACGTCTATTCAGGGTTGATCGTATATACACTGGTCTGTGCGCACAACATAAGCTCGGAGGATCAGGGCTTCAATTAGTTTTATTTGAAGTGACGTAGGAATAAAATGTTAGTGCACATCTCAACCATTTCCTGCATATTTGTTTGACCTAAGGTGAGTGAGTAAGATAACTTGTTGAATGAGAAAAACAGGACGACATACTATATGAGGAATCTTAGAAACCGTGGCCGCAACATTGACGATTCTTTTGCTGATGAGAATGTTGAAAGTGACGACCCCAACCAGTACACTTGTTAAAATCGGGATCTGCATGGATGTAAGGGGCCAGAGGATTCAGGATGAATGAGAAAATCTTGAAGGGGCGTCTTGAGCCGGAATAGAATAGAAGGACCAGGTACCGTTCCTCGGGGTCAACTGAAATAAATGAAAATATTTAGCAACGTCAGATAAAATTAAGCAAAAAAAGTAACATAAGAAATGAATAAGCCGAAATAGATAGAGTAGAAGAAAAAATGAAATAACCAAGGGAGAATTGAAATTAAGGCAAGAGACGAACAGGGGTGAGGGAAAGACCATGGTACTTTCGATCCATTGGAGAAACGCTTCCTAGAGAGAAACAGTCTTGAATTGGGTGACACATTTATTCCAGAAAAGCGACAATGCAGTCCTCAAATGTGCTTGACCACCAGGTGAGTCATCTCACTTAACCTTCATGTAGATCGTGCTCACCCTGGCTACTGTCAGTGGTTAACACATTAACTGTCAGGGTTTGCGACACGCTATGGATCTGTCAGCCACATCTCGATGGCATGGCAGTCAATGTGTTAAGGATTAACTCAAAAATGTGGGACCTAATGGCAGAAAGAGATTGACGTCGCACTTCAACTTGTAATTTTCCAGGAAAAGATAGCAAAGAACACAATGGAAGTCTGGCTCCATGATGGCTGCCGTATATTATGGATTGCGAAATACAGGGGCTGAAACCTCACCACATGCCTGCTTCCCTGGTTGTTATCGTGTTCCCCAATAGTATTCCGAGAAACGGAATGTAGGAAGAAGTTTCCGAGAAATGCAAACATTTTATATGACGGAGTTAATATTTATTGTCGTTCAGAACTTCTTCTACTCTTGCATTTCGTCCCATCTTCCCATTCTTTTAATTCCCATTTTCCTCTCGATCACAGAGGTCAAAGTCAGATGACAAGGATCTCGCCCTCATCCTTCAGCAAAAGAGTAAGTGCTGTCATCCTTCGTGACAAGTTAGTGACATTCAAATCCAACCTCATCAACATGCGCATATACACATGAATACATAAACAATGTAAGTAGGCTTCCAATCACCTTCCTCTCGCGGGATATTTATGTGTGCTATTTTTGTTTCCTATCAGGAACCCGTCATTTGCAGATTTTCCCATCCGCGAGGAGAGATTTTAGAATTCTCTGGAAAAAGATCACTGGTAGTGTCCTATCTACTCCAAACTGCCTCCAAACCACTTCCAATTCCACTCGCCTCCAATATGCGTAAGTGCCTCAGCTTACTCTCCCTTTTCTTCCTCCTTCTCATCTTCTTCACGGGGACGGGTGAGCAAAATGTTTGTCCTGAACCCAATGATATCCTTCCCTGCATCTGCATCCATGATGAAAGCCCCAACACAGTGACAGTTGACTGTTCGGGAGCAAGTTCGATTGCCGAAATGTTCACCATCTTTAACGAGGCTCCCTGGCCCCTCACGGAATTAACGTAAGATGATATAAGCGTGATTGTTACCCTCTTTGTCGTCGTCACATAGACTCATTCATATACGACGTTTTAGGATATATTTCATTATTGCTCATATATGTGGATATGTTGCGAAGGTCTCTGAAATTTCTTGTCTGAAATGCCCTTTTACACAAATATCCTGTTATCGAATATGAGCAGGTCACGTTCATTGAGAAAAAGGTACCGATTTTTAATAGGTACGAGAGGGATGGCGAGTCGATCCAGTCGAATTCATCCATAGGGATAAATGAAAGTTAATGGCGTAATAACAGTCCGGATTTGAAGTCATAATGGCCTGCTCATACCTTTTCCTCAAAATTATTTTAAGGGGAATACGGAAAAGCGGGCAAGAAGTAGAAATTAATAAAGCTCATTCAGGAATTTAATGAATCAAGGATTTCCCTTCCCTAGAACAGCCTTACCAACAATACCCTTAAATGCATTCACTTTGTAAGTTAGGTATCAAAGGCATGGCAACATCTTACGTTTCTGTTATGAGAGGAATAAGGTGTTACGATGCAGTGCTTTCGAAAAAGACTGTGGGACCTTAGAGCCTCGTACAATCTTCATCGTGCACTTTGACAATGAATTTCGAATAAACATAAGAACCCTATTATAATACTAAAGAAGAAACCAAAAAAAGATGATTGCTTAATAATGGATCCATCAAAATCTGTTATGATGGTATCTGCCATGATAATGAAACATTCCTCCATTTTCCCATGAGATTCATAAGTTTTTACCTACATCTCATGGGCTACTGGCGCCTTGCGCTTCCTGTCCTCACACAAGTAAATTATACCAAATTTAAGATCTTAAAATTTATTGAACGGCATTGTACAGTATTTGAATTATGAACGCGCTGTGTTCCCGAATCCAACTATTTCAAAATTAAATATTGTATTTCCAGGTGTGAGTAAAAATGGATTGATGATTGGTTTTGGAATGGTAACGTAATTGGTGTCTCACAATGGATTGACATTTAAAATGAATTAGCAATTATTGCTGGACGATATTATTACTTTTTTTTTACAAATATTTGTGCTTGTGTAATTTTATGTATGTGTTACCTGCGTTATTTACATAAAAAATGTTAAAAATAGGTAAACGTCTTAGTCTTCTACGAAACATCATGCCATTGAGGATCTCACCCCTCCCTTTCCTTGCAGGAGATTTAACCTGACCTACAATGAGGCCATTCAAGAGTTGCCCGCTGGAGTTTTCGGAGATGTTTCATTCGAAGAACTTTTCATTTACCGTACCTCCACGAGCAACGTCCATCCTGATGCACTCCTACCCTTAAAAGAGCGACTTCGGGATCTGCAAATTGGGTACGGCGCATTGGAAAGCTTCCCTTGAGACATCCTTCCTGAATTCAAGAATCTCTTCAGGATCAATCTCCACAATAATGCGTTCAACGCTTGGCCGTTGATCCAAAGCGAAAGCTTGAATATCATCATTCTAACCCAGAGTAAAGTATCCTATCTTGAGTCTGGCTTTCATCTCCCAAGTTTGCGTGTTCTTGACGTGGGTGAGTTATTTATTATTGAATGCAACGCATAGGATGGGAAAGGCAGCGTACATCCTTTCGAATTAATCTAATTTATGAACATCCATCTTCTTCTTAACGCACTTGTTCATGTGGTTACAGACGTTAAGATGGCACAAAACATCGCGAAATCCAATGTAACTGGAAGTTACTGCAAAATGAAATTTCTTTGTTGAAAACGAGTAACTTTCTTAGAATCTGTTTATTTTTCGGAAAAAGCAAAAGATTTCGTAGAAGCTTCCAGTTTGGGTCTTAGTCCTTCAGCTGAAACGGAAAAAGCGAATTTATTTTCCCGAAGGACTTATTAACTTGCTAAGTATGCCCGTTTTACATGTTTTGCTTAGGGGAAACTGAATAATACAGAAATACCGAAATGTTCTAGAGAATACATCTAAATAAAATATTTCACCACCCTAGTATGTATGCCTATGAACAAATATCTCAAAGAAATTAACATTTTCATTGCAATTTTTATGGAAGAATGATCTCAACAAGTACCACTTTAAACATTGTTTTCCGTTCATATCTCTCCTTTTCGCTGAAGAGAAAACATTTTTGAGATAAATCTTCCTCTCCCCCAAAAATGTGCCTAGGGGAATTTCCTAAAATCTAATTTTTTCTGATACCTGCGACCGAACAGTTATTAGTACATTAAATATTATTTTCTTATTCTTCCTCATTCGCGTGTAAAAATAATTTCTAAGGAAACCCTTCTCCCTCCCCCCACACGCACGAATAAAATGCCCTGAGATGATATACCCCACTATTAGGATTTTTCTACAAATCAGCTTCTTCTTTAAATGAACTTCAGAAGCCTATGACTCAGAAACCAAATAAACGTTGCTGATAATGTCTAATGAAAATATGCCACTCAGGCGTTTACTTAGAGAAATTTCCAGTAATTCATCAACCCAATAGCTGCGTGTGCATCAAGTTCCATGCTTCTATGGAGCGTAGACTATGGCTTGAATTACCGCAAGTCAGTCGTTCAATATCCGTACTTCCTTGGTTCTTCCTTTTCTGCAAATTTAATTTAACTTATTCTACTATTTAAAACAAAGAGTTTTAACTAATTCTAGATATTTCAAGTGCACTTTCAATACAAAGCCGTAAGATACTTCGATTCTGTGTCTCTCAATTTTTGCGTCAGGACAGATATTTTCTGTATTGTGGAGAGCGTATGGATTATCAATGTGTTTCTTTCCGGTGCAGCTTATAATCCCATTTCGAGGATCCAACAAGGATTTTTCTCCAACTTGCCGAGCATGGAGATATTTTATTGCCCATCCTGCAACCTCGGTCCAACTTTACAGAGTGGTTCATTAGAATTTTCGAGTCAAGCTGTAGAGGAAGTTCAGCTGGAAAATAATTCCATCTCAAGTCTGGAAATGCATGCGATCTCAGGTAAATCTATCTGGCTCTATCACATCTACTATTATTGGAAGTCAATAATCGTTTTTCCCTAATAATTTCTTGCTAACAAACAAATTATGGAATGTTTCCTTTGTTTAACAATAAATGTTTTCCTGCCTTGATTTCAGGCTTGACACATTATACGAAAATTAATTTATCGAGGAATAAAATCGAAAAACTGACGGAGGAGGTATTCCGCCCCATGATAGAAGTTCTCTCACGGGGAGATGGATATATCGATTTCCATGGTCAGTGTCAGGCTGTCCACAATGTTCTAGGATATACTCCTGTTGATATCATTCCCTGCTTACGTATGTCTTCCAGGGAATCCTGTGGATTGCGACTGCAGCATGGCCTGGATTGTGGAGTATCCAAATTTTCTGGCTAGCGTTTTGGGTGAATGCATAGGGGGAACTAACTTTCAAGACCTGGATCCAAGCTCATTTGCAGAATTCTGCAAAATGACGGATCGTCTCATGCTGGCAAATTGTACATTAGGGTGAATTTCTGCCATTTTTCAAATGCCCATTCCATTTCGAAATTAAGCAAACAAAGGCTTGTTGAAGATTTTTGAAGAAAATTTTTGCAATCCCTGGAATTGGCAATAAATTGATGACAAATTATGTTATGTGTAATGTGTTGGTGGACAAGAAGCAGTTTGTGCCAAGAGGCAATACATGAGAAACTCCCTCACTAGAAATATTGGGCTGTTAAGAAAGTCTTTGTAGTTTTTTTTGTTTTTGTTCATTCTATATTCATCATGAAAACAAGATCAATCCACAATGTAAGCACCATCGTTGCCCTCAAACTTCCTACACCTTTCAGGCAGGAAGCGGATGTCCTCCCTGTAGAACGCCGGCGGCTTGGCCTCGAAGAAGTGCTTGAGGTCAGTTTCGAGCGCCTTCTGGTCATCAAAAGTGCTTCCCTTACAGGTGGTTCTGGAGGGAGCGGAAGAGGTGGTAGTCTGAGGGGGTCAAGTCGTGGGAGTACGGTGGGTGGGGCAGGACTTCCCACCCTAGCTCAAAGAGCTTGAGGCGGGTCGACTTCGCAGTATGGGGTTGCGCGTTGTCGTGACGGAAGAAGATTTTGTCGTGCTGTGGTCGCATCGCTTCGAGTTTCAGCTTCAAACGCTGCAGCTGGGCGCAGTAGTAGTCGGCGGTGATAGTGGTGTTGGGCGGCAGCAGTTCCCAGTGCACGATGCCGAGGACGTCCCACCACACGCTCAACATCACCTTCCGCAGGTGAAGGTCAGGTTTCGGCTCTGGCTGTGCCTCTTTGGCAGCGTCGAACCAGTGGCAGTGGCAGTGTCGTCCAGTGAATTCCTCCTAGGTATCTCAACTGATTTCCACCATCGATACCTACTTCGCTTTGTAATTTCCTGCAGATTGTCCAACTCATTTGTAAAAATTATTACAGTTGACCTTTGACCTGACCCGGATGACTAATCGTATTGATTTTGGTTGCAATTTCTAGGCTGACACCATTCGAGAGCCCTTGGAATCATTTTTTAGAATTTGCTTTCACGTTGTTAAAATGATGACTGTTGAAATGCTGCAGTCAATCTGAGACGAGAATGCGCTAGCGCCATCTCTACCCGATTTAATAACTGCATTAAGGTGCTTTGCCTAGACCCATTTCAAGTATCCGCTCGTGTCTATTCGCCAGGAGAGACGGGACGACCAGCGTCGTTACGATGCCCCCCGCGCGAACGAAATTGCAGTTATTTCTCAAAATGTCGGCGGAAAACAATCTTTTTGAGAGAGATATTAGGGTTTATTGCCGAGGGGAAAACAAAATCCAACATCAATTTTTCATCCTCAATGCAACCCGATGACTTATCTTCTCGTTTCCCCGCATGCAGATGACGGTTGGAAAACTAAAATGCCTCATCGCAGGGTCAATAATTAATGCATAAATCAAATATAGTACTTCAGTTATCGCTTGGCGGTTGAACATTTGAAAATTCATAACATTTCCATACGTGATTGTAACAGAAAGAAACGCAAGCCATCAAACATATCCGGTACGTCCTTTCATATGACCTACTGTAAAGTTTAAAATAATTTCATCTCTACCCGCTCAGAGTAAAAGAAATGAGGTCAAAGTTCTCTGATATCACAAGAATGGGCTACTTGGCTTTCATTTCCGACCTTTGGGGATGACAAGAGCCAAATAATGCGTCATCAAGTGGACACTTAGCACTACAAAGTCTAAGCCTGTTTGCTGGTACAACTGTTTGGAGAGTCATGTTCTGGTTCAAAGAAAATTCATTCAAAGAGGTGCAGACCTACATGGACTAGAACTTCCCTCAGCACTGGAACGAAAGACGTGGACCGATCGCCTAGCCCCCAAGACGCCCAGACCTGGCCCCCTACAACTTCGCTTTGTGGAGGCATTTAAAGCAGCTAGTGTACTGGAAGTCGCAAAAGGATTTGAACTCACTTCGGAAGGCCATCGAAGCAGCTTGAGCTTCCCTGACTCCTGATATTTTTGCGGAGTTCCGTCAAACGATGCCTGAATGGCGCGAGCGCACTTTTTGAACTATAATTTTGGGACTTCCTCTACTTCTAAACTAAATAATTTTTCGTCTGGCCATGAGCGAGGAACTCCATTTCTGAATGAAATATCACTACGGCGCCAGAGATGCATATCGCACAGCACCGCAAGTGGGATAACCAAAAGAGTGAAAATAATCCCATAGAAAGCCTGAATGTAGAACATACGCATACATCGCTCAGGTGACAAATGCGAGACACGGCACAAGACATATTTTCCGCACCTCATAATTCGTGAGTGCAATTTTCCAGGACAACTGACACTTTGTCCAAAGGCGAAATAAAAACTGAAGTTTAAGCTGATAGAGCACGACGAAAACGAAGGAAAGGTAAGCCCTTCTCTTGTTCATGACTCAGAACGCGAGTGTCAGCTTTGGTGTGTTGGGATATCCCTGGTCAGTGTAACGATGTAAACCATTATAAACCGGTATGATCAGAAAGTTCCGTTCAGTTATATCATTCCTTCTCTCTCATTCATGTCGTTCATTTCAACGTTTCGTTCTGGGTGAAATCAAAAGTTCTGTTCCGGTTTACTGTGCCGTTCCGTTCCAGCTCCAACGCCCAGCTTTGAAGACCAACCATTAATGTTTAGCATGAACAGGTCGCTCAAACTGGGGGTATCGGTCACCGTTAAGGTGGAATTAGGATTAGCGAAGACACTGTTGACAGGGTACGGGCTGCTTTTCAACGTAGTCTGCATGAGTTCGCTCGTCGTACCAGCAAAGAACTGCAGCCACCTACTGTAACTCAGCAGTCTGGATAATATAGCCGAAAACGCTAATGTTGATGCCAAATATGTTTCATTTCTTGCAAGTCGTGACAGAAGATGAAGAAGTAAAGTAGGACTATTCCTCTGTTTGCTGTCCTATTTCACCGAACTCTTTGTGCCAAACCTAAATGCATGGTCTCTAGATGAGCCACATCCCATAGTTTTTACGTAAACGGCCTTTCATTCAAAAACGCAAATTGCGTTCCTGAACGCTTCTGTCCTCCACGAATGAAAGATTCCCTTTCATTTGTGGAGGACAACGTGTTTCTTTAGACCAAAGACCACACTGTGCTTTCTCTGCTCCCGTGAAATCCACAATTTACGTTTACACGGTTCAGCGCCCCCCATAGTGGGTCACATGGATACGAAGGTCACATACTTGTGACCTTGGTATCCATGTGGCACAAAACGTTTAAGTGTTTCTGCATATCTTGGTGTGTCTTCCTCATTTCAATGATTATTTGTTTTGTAGCAATAAGACTTTGAAATTGGAACCACACTATTTGGACACCCTGTAAAGCCCCTGCGGCAGAGGTTAACGTTGCTATTATTTCATCTGATAAATTTCCTTGTCGAATTGCGAAATAATTCAATGGATATCTGGTACCACGTCACGACGGCCTTATCTTTTGGATTGCGAAACGGCTGGGATTCTCCCGCATGCTTAGTTCCCGCCGTGTATCATGATGTTATCCCGGATTTCCAGAAACTGAATGTGCGTAGGGGGTTTCCAGAAAGGAAATCGTTTGAAGAATAAAGTCATTAATTTTTTCACATGTTCGTGCGGCTTTGCTTTCCTACTCAATTGGCTGCTTCTCCATCACCATGGTCAAGGGTCAGATGACATGCGTTTTACCCTAACATCCTTGTTTCCTATCATAGGCACCGTCATATGCGGATTTTCACATACGTGAGAGAAGGTTGCATACGGTCAAAAAAGGACATGGCAGAATCTAATAAATTCCATTCCTTATCCCAGTTCCACGACCTTGAAGATGCAGAATTTCTTCACCTCCCTATATGTTTTCACCTTATTTCTCACTTCCTTCTCCACCACCAGGGTGCAAAATCCTTGTCCCGAGCCAAATGATATCCTTCCCTGCATTTGCATCCATGAAGGAAGCCCCGACAATGTGACTGTTGACTGTTCGGAAGTGAACTCGATTGCCGAAGTCTCCTCAGTCTTTAACAAGGATGTCTGGCCATTCACGGAACTCAAGTAAGATTATATAAGCTACAGCGTTTCCCTCCTAGCATTCCTCACATAGACATGCAACACTTAAGCATATTACTCTTTTGTTCACATACTTTTAGAAACGAAGGGGGTTCAGCATGTTTCCGACCCCAGACATTTCCATCATAACACATCACTATTAATAAGCCCATCGGGAGACATTTATTTGATGTGTACTGGCAACGTTTCATCTCATTGGTAAACGGTGGACAGCTTCCATTAAATTTTCAATGAACACCCAAAGGCTGAAGGGTTTTGAAAAAGGAGAGGAAGGATGGGATGAATTTTCTAAACTTGAAGGACCTCATCTTCTAGCAGATCATTTAGTAGGGTCAGTAGGAAGTAATCTCTACCGCAGGAAGATCAACCAGTTCATTGAGACCTTCAAGGGTAGAAAATTCATAACAGAATTCGTCTCAATTCCATATCCGATCTGCCGACCATCTGTTTGTTCATTGAAAAATAAAAGTTATAGAAGAATCACCTACAAATTAGATTAAATTTCATCAGTTTTAAGTACATATGTCTCTCTTTAAGAAAAGTAAGCATAATGTATTAAAAATTAAAGCGTCTCGGACGTTTTAGAACGCCCCTCGTATGCTGCGAAGGTCTCCCACATTTCTTGTCTGAAATGCCCTGGTACACAGCGTTCTCTCGCCAAAGACGTTTTTGTGACTTTCATTGTGAAAAAAGCCACATTTTAATAGTGAATATGGGGCGAGTTTTTTATCGTCGAACTTATCCAACGTGCTCACACAAATCAAATGGTATGCTACATTATCGCAATTTTGAAGCCATACTGGCTTGCCCACACACTTCTTCCACAATTGATATCGAACCCTTCAACTGCGAATAACTTATTAACGTGTTAACAGATAATGCCCTCATAGCTGTTCACTTGCAAAGGCGTTTTCAAATATCCGCTCGGTATTGCTGGCCTTGCGTATGCATGATCGACACGAGACTCAGAAAGAATTCCTCGGCCATCTAATGAGAATTTCGCGATACTTCGAACTGGCTACAGAAGAAAACTACGGAGGGGTTCATACCGCCCGGGAAACACTCTGCACATGAAAATAAATGAACACCTAGGAAAATAATATGGAATGAACGCCATTCAGGAAGTAGAATGACTTGGAGACTCTCTTCCCCAGGACAATATTCTAAGTAATACTTCCATGAGCTTGATTCCAACATTTAGAACATATGAAGATAAAAATGTTCATCTGCCATGAGCGGAGCCCTATTTTATTAGGTATTCTACATATGTTACTTCCACTCACTTCACCCCACGATATTATTACTTTTTTTTTTACAAATATTTGTGCTTGTGTAATTTTATGTATGTGTTACCTGCGTTATTTACATAAAAAAATGTTAAAAATAGGTAAACGTCTTAGTCTTCTACGAAACATCATGCCATTGAGGATCTCACCCCTCCCTCTCCTTGCAGGAGATTTAACCTGACATACAATGAGGCCATTCAAGAGTTGCCCGCTGGAGTTTTCGGAGATGTTTCATTCGAAGAACTTTTCATTTACCGTACCTCCATGAGCAACGTCCATCCTGATGCACTCCTACCCTTAAAAGAGCGACTTCGGGATCTGCAAATTGGGTACGGCGCATTGGAAAGCTTCCCTTGGGACATCCTTCCTGAATTCAAGAATCTCTTCAGGATCAATCTCCACAATAATGCGTTCAACGCTTGGCCGTTGATCCAAAGCGAAAGCTTGAATATCATCATTCTAACCCAGAGTAAAGTATCCTATATTGAGTCTGGCTTTCATCTCCCAAGTTTGCGTGTTCTTGACGTGGGTGAGTTACCCAATATTGAATGATATGTGTGGAACGTGAATCGCAGTGCACATGTTTTTCATTAACTTTTTGTTTGAAACGCAACAGGTTTCCAATGCTCAAGTTTCCAAATGTACGTATGTGAAGGAGGTTTAACACTTCAAGGATATATCTGTCCATTGCAGTGTTATTGACAGATATATGGTCATTCCACGCCAAATCGACCAGAGTGTGAGCAGGACCATCTCGGAAGTTGACGAAAATTGGCATAGAATAAGCGGAATTGCTATACAGTAACAAATTTCAAATTATTTTAATATATTTCACCGATCTCCTGACATGTGGATTTGAATATCACTCAGTTTTGGCTCTTGATGCCCATACAGCCTTGAAATGTGAAACTGTTTCTGTAATAATTTTTCCCCTAGTTAAGATAATAGCTCCTTTTAAACGTCATTTTCTTTGTGATATTGCCATATTTCAATGGAGTTTAGACACTATTCTTCGAGGCTGAAATAAGAAGTTCTGCTTGATTTTTTAAAGTTCCAAATGTCTCATTTGAACACACATTTGGACATTTTCGCTAGGGACGCTCTAGTTGATTTGGCGTGGAATGAAGCTTGTCTCTTTTGGAAATACTGTTTCTTTTCCATTTAAATCCAATGTTGCATTATAGTATGATTGGCAAGAGATACATCATACAATCTCTTGACGAGTTCCTTTAACTATCTTCAGACATTTAAGGACTTTTTTACCAAATGAGTTTTTTTCTTATGAAAAAGAACTAGAAATATTTTGCCGATCTGCGAAACTCGGTCATCATTGAAGCAACTTGCTCGAATACTTCCGTTTCTCAATGCTTAAATCGAGATTTTAAAAATCTAACAGATACAACTATTCATATCACTGAACTGTTACAATAAAAATTTGTTTCCATGGTATTTAACTTTCCGCATGCAAAATATAAAAATTGCGAAATTAACTTAGTGCAAAACAACAGGCGAATGTAAATTAACTTAGCTAATAAAGGGTTAAAGAGCCGTGCAATACAATGCGACCAATAATTTATTAAGCTATCAGGCATTTTTCTTTATTTCTCAGTAACCTGAGGCTTTATTTCTCAGTAGCCAGAAGAAAAGCTTCCAGAAAGACCACCCAGCAGTGTGGTTCCCAGAACTTCAATGAGGCTTTCTGTGATTCCTTTTTGCAAAATCAAATTAGATCATTATACTTATTAAAATCGAGAGTTTTGTCTCAGGTTGTACAGGATATATTGACACCGCTTTTCAGTGCAGGCAGGAGAAAAACATTATATCTTGTATCTCTGAGCCTCTAGCTTAACGGCAAGAAATGTTCATGTATGAGGAACATACATGGTTTTCAGCTAATTTCATTTCTTTGGTTGCAGCTTATAATCCCATTTCGAGGATCAAACAAGGATTTTTCTCCAACTTGACGAACATGGAGATATTTTATTGCCCATCCTGCAACCTCGGACCTACATTGCAGAGTGATTCTTTACAATTTTCATGCCAAAATTTGGAGGAAGTTCAGCTGGAAAATAATTCCATCTCAAGACTGGAGCCGCATGCAATCTCTGGTATAGTCTCCTTGACTTTGCCACATGTATTACTATTGGAAGTCAATATTTGTTCGTTGCTAATTATGTCAGATTAAAGTAGAATTGTGAAATATTTCCCCTGTTAAACACCAAAGTTTTTCCTGACTTGATTCCAGGCTTAACAGTTAATACGAAACTGACTTTATCGAGAAATAAAATCGAGGAACTGACGGAGGAGGTCTTCCTTCCCATGTTTGACGTCCTCTCGCGGGGGAATGGATCCATCGATCTTCGCGGTGAGTTTCGGGTTGCCGACAATGCTGTTTGATACGGGCATTCAGGTATCATTATCGGTGTTTGTATGTCTTCCAGAGAATCCCATTCTGTGTGACTGCAGCATAGCCTGGATAGTGCTGAGGTCAGATTTTCTGACAATAGTAGCGGGTGAATGTACCAATGGAACACATTTTCGAGACTTGCATCCGCAGAATTTTCAAGACTGTGTTGATTTTCCATCTGCAGGTAGATTCATAACCTTAATGGATTCTGACAACAAGTAATTGATATAGAATATTTGCGTCCTTTGCGACAGTTCTCATTATTGAAGATATTGGTATCGATTTGATCTTCACATTAGACTTTAAATTTATTCATAAAAAATATTATCTCTTCTTCCTTGATCGCGAACTATATCACCAATTAAGAGTGCTCTTCCTATTCCTGCATTTTTGACTACATGATCATTGTGACGCTGTAAATGCAGTGATTTTGTGAATGTTTCTTTTTCGGTAACGTTTTTAGTGGACCTCCTTTCCTGAAAGGAAAGAGATCACTTATAGTCCCGTCCTATCCGTCCATGTGTCCGTGTGTCACACTTTGGTTGTCCGACGATAGCTAAAGGAATATTAGTCTGATCACTGCTAAAATTGGCAAGCAGGTAGATATGAACAAGATTCCGGCTGAGTTCGTTTTTTGGTGAGTTTTAACCAAAATTGGCATGTTTATTGCAAATTTGTAGTTGAAATTTGCTAATGGAGGGGAAGCAATGAGTACCTATGTGCCCTTCTGTATGTTGATCACCATGCGCAAGCGCGTACGACCCAGGCTTTGAGTGCGGCGCCGTGTCAGCATCATGAGACGTCAGTTCCCTACCAACCTTCGTGGCGGATGTATCCAACCACGCACAGCCCTCAAGCGCCCCATCATCTTTTCGTGGGCACCGTTAGTCTATGTTTACCAAATATGAATGAGAAATGAGGTATTTGAGGGTGGAAGACCGGAAAACGACATAGTTTTGTGCAATTAGGCGACAAAATGTCTAGGCTTGCCCAACTTGTTTTTAAAGCACCTAACGTATTAGCCCACTAGAGACGTACGAGGTGTGGCAAGAAAGAAACTAGATTGAACGATTAGCTTATGCAATACCCACTCCACAATCAAATTGATTACACCGTTGTTTAGCGTGGTCTTTCCAGCTTCTAACAAGCGTTGGCATGATCGAATCGGATAAATAGTGTTTGTTTTACGCTCGCTTGTGTAAGACGTGTTTTATCGCCCTTCCCGGAAAATGTGTGATAGAAATGTAGAGCAGCGCATTAACATCATATTTTTATCCAAATCCAGCAAAACCACAACCGAAACTTACAGTATGTTGAGATATGTTTATGGTCACGCAATAATGTCTCGTGCTCGCATATTTGAAAAAACGATTTCTGGACGGTCGAGAAGACGTGCACGATGATCCGAAATCCGGTCGACCTAAAACCACAAAAACAGATGAAAACATCGAAAAAGTTCGAAATTTGGACTGCAGTGATTGCCGTTTAACGATTAGAATGATGGCTGCGATGTTAAACATGGAGAAGGAATCAATTCGCAAGATTTTGATCGAAGATTGGGACTTTTTTCTGTTTCCAAAAATTAAAAAGTTTCATGAAAGGAACCCATTTTGACGATGTGGAGCACATAATGAGGCGTACGACAGAGCACCTAAAAAAACCTTCCCGAAGAGGCTTCCAAAAATGTTTCTAGGCGTGGAAGAAGAAAATAGGGAAGTGCGTTAGATCCAACGGGGACTACTTTGAAAGGGACAACCATTGAATTCTATTATTTTTCAGTAATGAAAGTTTTCTTTACATTGTCTCGTTTCTTTTTTGCCAGACCTCGTATAACTGCCTTGTGTATCACTCTGTAGTAGGTTCCTTATAGCCCATCCTTCCACATTGACCCTTTTTTGTCCGCATTCAAAAAAAGGAAAATGTATGTTTCCTCTGATGGAAATATGGGTTGCACGAAGGGCACTGTCGAATGTGTCTCAGTCCTGATGATTGTTTTTTCTTTTTTTCATATCAGTCATACATGAAGCCCATAAAGTTACTTCCGTATTTCAAAAGGCCCTATCTCCATTACGGAGAGGCTTAGAAACGTCATATTCGGCACAGATGATATACAGCCAATGGGATTTATGATAGTCAAGGGTCCAAATTTTCCAAAACGTTTCTGGATATCACCACCTGGACGGCGTTGTACTGGCTCTTACCTGGCCCGACACTGTTCCTTCCACAATTTGGGAGATGAGTCAAGTCTCTTCTCCAACGTACGTTCCAGGACCGCGTGATTAGCATGGCTTTCCCACAGGCCTACCCACCTAGGTCACGCGATCTTACACCTGCGGACTTCTGGCTGCGGAGTCTCCTGAATTCTGGCTATGGGGTTTACAGTGGCCGTCATGCGGACTTAGTGGAGCTCCAGGAATGCATAGCGGTGCCATGCTGCACCAGATTCTGACGTTGTCGTCTGACCAATAACGTTCTGTCGTCCACCACTTCATTTCATGAATGGAAGCGGTGGTAGTGGCAGGGGGTGGCGACATCGAATACCAGCAGGTTTTCCCATCCACTCGGATATGTACCGACTTAAGTCTTTAATTGACCGGTATTGCGCCACCCTGGTTGTAATTTACAGAAAAATTTTGGAACATTTGGAATCTTGGCCATCATAAATTCCATTGGCTGTTACCACGTATAGTCTATCCGGTCCATCTTGACTGACGTTAACCTCATGTGACAAGATTAGCTTCCATAATTTATTTCAACCGTAACTAAAAGTATAATTCAGTCTTGTTTCAGCATTCTATGAGGGACTCTGCGCGAGGGATTTAGAGGAGTGCAAGGCTCTGTATAAAAGAGAACTTCTTGAGGACAAAAATATGACATATCTCAGTATAATTACTCAGGTTCTAACGGAATTGTTGGTGCCATTCTTGGATCCATTGGAGCGTGCCTAATCGTGGTCATCACTGGTATCGCCCTCTACTGCAATTGGATTGGAAAATGTCGAGTGAGTCACGCTAATGGAATTAAATATTTAAATGATTCACTAAGAGGAATATTATCTGGATGATAATTATTTCCCTTAAATGCCGCAGGCATTGCGCAACATGTTGAAAAAGAAACAGGTGGAGTGCTTTCATAGCGGACAACTTCAAAACATAATTCCCTCACATAATCTCCGCGAACAAGCGTATTATCTGCCGTATGAAGATCGCTGGGAATTTCCTGCAAAAAAGCTAAGACTAGGTTAAACTCAAACCCTGAAGTTCATAGATTTTCCGAGACAAGAGATGATATCGACGGATGGTTCAATCTCAATAGGGGAAGTGATTGGAAGTGGTGAATATGGTATTGTGATGAAGGCAGTTGCCATTGGAATCCTGGATTCGGAGCAGGAGACACTAGTGGCAGTGAAGAAGAGCAAGCCCGGATGCGATAAATTGCACTACGAAGCTCTCATTGCAGAGTTGAAAATCATGAGCCATCTTGGAAAGCACCAGAATATCGTCAATCTCCTGGGGGTCTGCACCAAAGACATTGCACGGGGCAAGTTCCGTGATCTTGATTTCTGAAGTGAAATGGAATTTTCCCGAAAAGGAATTGTTCCTCAAAGCTAACTAGGCGAAGGCCTTTTACTTTTGTATTTTCTAAAAACAATTTCTTCTCAATACATCACTTTCTCAGTTCCCGTCCTTTCAACAACGAAGCAAACCAGTTGGTTATGCTCTAAATTATGATACAGTTCAATTTCCTTGGAAATCATTTGAATATGCCTTTCCTAGGGAAGATACGAAAGGGAATTCTGGAAGTTTCGATTATAAATAGGTTTATCCGCAACGGAAAGTGATAGACGTAAATTTTATGTAATACTTATGTCTGAACACGTTCACATGTACAAATGGAATCTTTATGCAGCACCTTGAAGTTGAAGAAACAATAAATGATTGTATAAGAAAAAAAAGCATTAAACCATAGAACGGTAATTGCCATGTGAGTCATAAAAAGCAATAGGAAATACGTTAATTTCCTTGTGACCCGAATAATTGGACACGATGCAATCGCATTAACATAAATGAACGGTTTTCTATTATCCCACATAGTGGAAACTCGCCAACAACCATTCTTCGAATGTTCGTTTCGTTGTCTGACGATTCCTCGATTGATCATCGATTGCTAATCTCTCCCAATTCTCAACTTCTCGAAAGCCGACTCGCCGACTCGCAACACAGAGTTTTCAACTCGTATTCTTAACTCGCCAACCTTCATAACTGGCCTCAGAGAAAGGCAGAACTTATTCCCGTTGATCTAAGTAGGATGGATTTCGAATTAGTCCATCCAGGCCTTCCCAAGCATAAGTACGACTGAAATTGCTAGTCCTGGCCTCCAAAGCAGATTTTCCTTCGGTGTTCAGCATTCCCACACTTTCTCTTACCTCTTCAATCCTCCTAGGATTGAAAGTGACTGCTCCATTTGACACCTCTGTGAAAGTCATTGCTTCAAGGAGCCTCGACGGAGGCAAAGGTCGATTGAAGACAAATTAGTTCGATGAATCCGCTGCTCCTCAAGATCTCGGTTTTCATTAGGAATAGTGCATTAGATTGCAATTGTAGCCACTTAAATGGTAGCAAAGCATTTTATTTGAGGCTGATTGGCAAATACACTCTAAGAAAATTCCGAGCGTTTGGGGAGTAAAATGTGAGCACACTGTGAGCTTTTCGAATCAACTCTCTTATTACTCACCCAATGCTCCCTCATCGCTCGTATTGAAGAGAACACCTTGAAGTTCTTCGCCGGGCCACTAGATGGAGATAAGGATCTCGCTTTTCGCACAGTACACAAAAGTTCATTTCCCTCTTTCCCTGGAATCGTTCCCTCGCAGGATTGTTTAGTACTTTGCCATATGTCTCACCTAGTCTCATTATAGGAAACAATAAACACGGACACTTCATCATTTGTTATCCGCATATTCAAGACATATTCAAAGAGTCCAGGCTATAAACAGTCTCATATTCCTATTAAGAACCCTTTTGGAAGGCGCATGATTTCATCCGCGAAGGAGACCTAGAAAATGCGGAGTGTCCGTTCAATCATACCTCAATTAAATGAGGTAATAAGGGACTGCTATCCCGAACACTCACGGAACTTTTAAGAGGTGGTTCTGATTTGTGCTGTAAAGTGTGTGTAAAAACCCTCTGATTTGTGCTGTAAAGTGCTGTAATCAGTACAGTCAGAGATAGGTCAACGCCTGTATCGGAGCGAAAGCGACAAACAGTATTGTATGAAAATTTTCGTATTTGCATGACATTCCTATCATTTTCTGATGGGAGCGTTTTTACTCACGGAGAGCAATTTTACTCCTTGGTGATGGAGTAAATTCGCTCCTTTTCCCAGAGTGAAAGGGGGGTGAAACTGGAGTTAGCTATTTTACTCCTTTTTTTGGGAAAAATCGCCCCCCTTTTTCTAAGAATGTATGGAGGAAAACAAGAAAAATTCAACCTAGAATTACTGCCTTTTACTGCCTAGGGTATTCACTGCCTGCGTCGATACGGTTGATAATTTCACCAATTTACAATTCCTTTTTGTTTGGGCCGAACTAGAGAATGAAAGAAGTGTTGAGGATTCTTCCTGTAAAATTGTGGTCTAATTTTATGACTGCCCCACTCCCCTTCCCATATCATCACCTTCAAACTGAAAGAATAACTTGTATTTCTGTAGGGAATCTCATGATCTTAATGGAGTATTGTCCGAACGGCAGTCTAGAGAGTTTTCTTAGGCAAAACCAGAACCAATATGTCGATCTGATAGACCATCAAACTGGCAAGATCTGCTGCAACCGTCCACCTGGATCTCCTCATGGGTGAGCCTTCACTATTTTTCTGTGATATGACGCTTCCACCTCAAAATAAAGTTGAAGTCCTGAAACAGAGCAGGGAATGGAGGATATGTCCATGTTCCAGCGCTTTTCGAATCCAGTGTACAAAGTGGACTAAGTGGACCATACCAAGGTATGTTCACCATCGGGGCTTTGCCGGTCTTATCTCGGAAGGTAATCTAACAAGGCAATGAGGGTGGTTTTTGGACTGGTAACTTCACTGTCATTTTACCTTGTTATCATAACTGTAAAGCGTGCCTGTGTGACTTCATAAAAGAGCCTTCGCTGTGGTGCCGGGGAGAGACGAAGTCACTCGGACGCCTTTTATAGGTATATAGGTAAGATGACGAGGTAAGATGAGGAGGCAAGATGAGTAGGTAAGATGACGAGGTAAGATGACGGTGAAGTTACCAGTCCAGAAACCACCCCATTGCCTTCCAAGGCTGTCTGTGCAGATGTTGGTGGACGTCCTAGAATGATTGACGAAACACTTTTTTCATTAATGAACACTTTTATTCTATCTGCTGTAATCAGTTTGTCTGCCTAAAACTAATGAGTGTCGGGACTTGGATGAGGAATAGCTTCTACCTGTCACAGCATACCCTTCTTAGGCGAGCTGAATGCGGCCTAATAATATTTCTCTCACTTGCAAGCGGAGCAACAATGTTTTTCAAAAGATCACATTCATCCTCTTGAGGAGGAAGAAATACCCCTCCTATTGACTTCATCCTATCAAACAGTCGTCCGTAATGTAATCGAAAGTCAATAAGGAATTTCATATGTTAAATTGCTTTGTTTCAGCATTTCCGAATTTGAGGAGAAAGAAAGTGAAATTATTTTTCAGTAGCTTAGAATTCACAAACAAGTGCAAAAATAAGGGGTGCAAAAAGAGGAAAATGAGTGAAATACTGAAATATGCCATATACAAACATTGAGCGAATGCTTCACTCATTTGACACATTTGGACGAATGGCAGCCTCAGCGGAGACGGGCAATTTTTCAGGCTCTCCAATAAGAAATTTATTGGTTCATGCCAACCAACAATGACGTTATTTTTTAAAAGAAATATTAGAATTTTGAAACATTGTTAAAAGGAGTTTCTAACTTCACGGATTATTCACAGTATTCATCAGAACCGAACGTGTGGTGACAGGATGGCAGCAGCGAACCCATTTTAACACCCTTAATAGAGAGGGGCGTTTCAAGATGCTATCTGTTCATTTTTCTTCAATCTCTAGTTCATACCGTGTGGCTTTTCACTGACTTTTTTCAGGAAATGCGTTTGAATTGCGTGAGAAAAATCAGCGAGAGTTCTCCCGTGATGAAGAAGTAAACCATCAATTCACAACTTTTGAACTCTTGTCATTCTCGTACCAAATCGCCCAAGGAATGGAATACCTGGCCTCAAAGAAGGCATGTTCAACTTCTCAATTTCTGCCTTCATTTCGTAAAAATAAAACACATGTTTCGTTGCAGTTCGTACATCGAGATTTGGCAACAAGAAATATATTGTTGGCTGAAGGCAATATTGTGAAGATATGTGACTTTGGTCTCGCCAGGGACACCCACATGAACAATCAATATGTCACGAGAGGACAGGCAACGTCACTCTTATTCTCAGTGTCCGTGTCCTGCTTGATAGGCTTCATGATTTACACGTTTATGACTTTTTGCAGAATCCTGTAGCAATTAAATGGATGGCACTGGAGTCCCTGACCAACGGGAAGGTGTATACAAGCCAGTCAGACGTTTGGTCTTATGGAGTGATGCTGTGGGAAATATTCAGCCTTGGTAGTCATCCGTATCCAGAAATCAAACGACCTGACACCCTCATACAATATCTGGAGGCAGGACGTCGCTTGCCGCCCCCTGCCTACGTTAATGATGACATGTAAGGCTGTTCGTCGTCTCTCTTCGACGTCTGCTTTATTACAGGAATAATGCGAAGGTCACTCCAGCAGTTGAAATGGTAAGGCGATTTGTTTCAAAATATGGTTCCATTGAAGCAATAAATAAACGTCACTCACTCTTCCTTGGGTCGGTATGGTGCCAACAGTCAATTAATGAGTATATTAGGTGGTTTTCCATGCCTCTTTCTCCAGTTGTCCTACCCTTTTCATTTTGGGATATTTAACCCCTGGCACACCTTTAGCACAAGACGTGCCGTTCTAAAAATTAAACATCGTTTTCGGATTTTTTACGTTTCCACAAAACTGGCTGAAAGCAACAATTTAGGAATGGTCATTTGGCTACAAAGCAGTCCTCATTCAGCTTGGAAAATTGCTCTTGTCCCGCTGCTTCGCCGTCACACATGCAGATGAGCTACGGGACGGAATAGGCCAGAAAGGATGGTGATGTCAGAAGTGTTTTCTCACTCACTCTCGCCCTCTAAAAAAGAAAGGATAGAGAGGAGATTGGAGTTAGTCATTGGGAGAAATAATGGGGAAACGAGAGAGGAAATGTTTCGAGTTGCCATGAACCAAGAGAAGTTCAGTGTCTAGGAAGCGTGATAAAGGTGCGCGTTTGCCTTAAGTCACCTTGTACTCACAGATCGAATAGCAAGTCTGCAGAACGCACACGAGGATGGTGGCTGAAACAGACAAGAAATAAATGGTAAATGGTAGATGGCAATGCCATAGTTCCTAACAGTCTGCGATTTATTAAGAATAATTAATTCAGTACTAGTAACAGAAAAGTTAATCTCTCGACGTCGGCAGTCTTCTTGTCTCCCAGAAAGAGACGTGTAACCATGTATCGCATTTGTTAAATTCTTCTGGCTTTTTTTCTGATGCTCAACCACCCTGAACTCAAAGCAGCAATGACACTTTTCAATCACGGAATCAACAAAGCACTTCGCTGTGTGAAGCTATCTGCACTATCTCGACCTGACACTTTCGTGAAATGACTAACGCTGGCAGAACATATTACTATTTAAGGAGAACTTATCTTTTAAATTCCAAGTTTAGATCGATATAGGTAACGTTTAGCTTTCAATGAAATTTCATTTAAAGATGGGCAAAGCATAAACGTCGTCAAGCATTGTGGACAGTTTCACAGGCAATAAGAATCGCTGTTTTTCGTGCTTCCATGAAAATTACCCTCGTCAGAACGCTAAAACGAAGCCCTTTCTTTCCATTCTTCAACTTTCAGTTACCAAATTATGAAGCAGTGCTGGAATGCAGACCCACATTCTCGACCGACATTTTCAGCTTTGTGTGCTCGGTTCTGTGAGATTATTCGAGAAACTGAGGAATTGGTGAGTGTTTTCACATGACTCTCAACAGTATTTTATTACACATTACAACTCGATTTCAAATCGAATTGTACCATTATATTTCATTTTAGCCCTCTGAGACACAAAATCGAAGGTTCCAGCACGTCCATCCAACATATTGCCAAGCAAGGAGTACCTACGTGCAGGCCAACGAATTGCTGCCGACGCCTCCAATTCCTAAGCAGAGGCATTCTTGCACACAGGAAATTGAGGACTATTGCCCCACGCAACTGCGACATACCGTTCACATGCATATGGAAACACTCGAGGCGGGGAAGCCACTATCATCCAATGGACTATACTGTGACAGCATGTTATTTGCAACAACGTGATGAACTGTGACGTTTGGAGATGGAGTAGACCTTAGGAGCGAATTTAGGATTTTAAACGAAACCAAGCCAAATGATATGAGATCTATTATCTCAAAACAACTGTTTCATGCAAAGCCATGAACTAAGACTGCGCTAAAATATTATGCTCAAGTCTATCCAGCTTTTGTGATGAAAAAGCTCCGAAACATACTCGAGGATTTTTTTGGGGTTGAGTAATTTGGTTTTTCCCCTACACCCAGCCTCTTTGTTGCGCTTCAAGTTTCGAGGTTCGAGAAGGAACGTCAAGAGGCAGACTTGCCCATTAGAATATCTCGTATCAAGTTCGAGCGTTTCTCAACATAAGAAAGCCTCCACTTTCTTAAAAACAGATAATTTTGTGGGAATATCTCCACCTACTGTCTAGTCACGTACATCTACGCGGGTGGCAAAAAAGTTAAACCACTTTTAAACTTTGTTATGAAATCCATATTTTTATAGCGTTTAACGTGAACAATTTTTTCTCCTTTGGCTAATTTATTTTTCAAAAACTCGTAAAAGGTCATGATCATGCAACGATGACTCATGCTTGAGTTACACCAGATTTTTGTCAAAATGTTCAAAATTCTTAGCGAACAGAGATACGATGTTGGAATTCCAGCAGAGATTTTCCTTTTTTCACATTTGATTTTTCTTTAAAATACAGTTTTTGTGGATAAATTATGAAGAAAACTGAACAGGACTTGATCAAGTATGTTTTTCATGATCTGATAATACGATTCATGTGCATGATGTTCCGGGCGTTTCCACGCAAATTTTACAATATTTCCTGGTCTTGATACCTAAGGTGCGTACCAAATAACGTATAAAATTCCTCACTTGTGTTGTGCAATGCTGCAGGATAGATCAATAGCGGGCGTTTATTTTCCAGATGCAACCTCAATGTTTTGCACGGGAGATTTGTAATTTATTCTGTTGCTCCGCCTCGTCGCCTGATGTAGAATTTCTCAAGTTTTTGGTACATCTCAGATGTCAAGCCAGGAAAAATTTCGTAACATTTTCGTGAAAATGCCTGAAACATCATGCGTTTGGATCAATTTTCAAATAATGAAAAGCGCACATATGAATTTAAAAAAAAAACAGTCAAGTTCCCCTGTGTAAGATTTGGCGCTGTATGACGACCAAAGGCGTCGGCTGGATGCGTGACATTAATGGTGGCAATGACGCCGAAATATCTTATATAACCATTATCTTGGACGATTTACGTGTACGTTACAATCGATTATTACGAGATGAGACAGGATACCTTCCAGCAAGCCAATGGCCCCCAAGCACACGTCTCGCAAGGCTCGTCAATGCATGATCGAAGGCAGCAGGGCGAAGATCCCGGATTGGCCAGCGTCGCCTTCGAACCTAAACCCCATGGAATACCTCTGGACACCCCTGAAAAGACAAATTAGATTGAACGAAACAGACCCCAAAAGTTTGTAAGAACTTCAACAGAGTTGGAGCGGAATGGGCCATAGTTCTCAAGAAAGTTACTCAGCTAGCCAGATCGGCGATGCGGCAATACGTAGCCTAACTTTTTCCTGTTGGGAAGAGCTAGCGACATGAGACTACCATTTCAGGATAGCTTAAGGTCAGGGGTATCGAATTATGTAAGAACTGTTCTGATCGTTTCTTCTCTAGCCAATATTTAAGTCAAAAGCGTCCCAAATCCAAAACCATTGCACCACTTGCTGGGCCACTGTATTTCCAGACCTTCAGCAACTTAGAGCAATAGTGCTAACGACAGTAGAATGCCTAGCGAGACCTTATTTGGTTAAGGAACGTCCAGTTAAGATTAGTATCCAGTTATTTTAGCTTCTGTCCTTAAGAAAAGATCCTATAGGATCTCATGCTATTTTTTAGACATTAAAATCTGTCAGGATTCTGATCAAAATTCTGGATCCTATACAGCTGAAGGAATTGCCGGTGCTCAGAAACTGAACAAAGATACTAGAGGCATTCATAGCAGCTCGTCAAGGGAGGACATGATTATTGCCAGATGACAAAAATTTGAATGTTCCATTTTGCATTGCCAGAATTGGATGAATTCAAAAATGTTGTGGTTGCAGTTAGCTTCTTCTCAAAATGTGCTGAGGCTGAACGTCCTCAATACATAATTGCTTGTCAGTTACTCCGTTCCTTTACTGGCTGATTTGTCATCATTGGTTTCCTCAAAATTCGCAGCAATGATTAGGGTTGCGAATTTGTGAACTCACTGAGCTATGAACTTCACCGAATGACTGGCGTGAAGCAACGAAATACCCACCGTCAAACGGTTTATGCGAGAGGCAAAATCGAACTACTGATTGTCTCCTAAAAGTTCAGAAGGAAATATCCCGAGTTAGCATTAAAACATAACTTAGCATTTTTGCTCCGACGATCCTGAAAGTTTAGGTGAGTTACGCAACATACGATGGTTTATTTCAACGGGGCGCATAATATTTATGATATCCCGCCAGAGGGACGAATATTTGCCTAATTCGGTACGAGGGGGGAGTAATATTTATAATATATTTTCCAGGGGGACAGGGGACCAAATGTTTCGTCACACCTGCCATTCGAAAGAGAACTTATTAAAAATGTGAGACTGTAATTGAATGGAATGCCTTACGCTTAAAATCGTTTTATTTTCGAGGAGCAGGGTGTGCAGCCGTCGAGAACCAGCTTACCCGGACGACAATGTTCTTTCCCCTCCAGTCCGACCAGGAGGTGTGACGTCGCCTGTCCATGGGGTGAAGGCGGAGAGGAGCGAAAAATTGGAAAGCCCAAAAGCGGCAGAATGCTTTGACTGGGAAAAACTTTTCTCTACTACAAAACCAGTTTGCTCGAGAAGGGTCATGAAGAGACAATCAATTCCATGTGTCGTCTCAAGTCAAGTCGATCGTTTATTTACAGATTGAAGTAACTCCATGGAGTTACTTTTGGGACTTCAGACTATGCTAATAGTTGTTGAGAGTAATCTTTTTTATTCATAAGGTTAAATAAAACCTTTTCATTAAAACGTGAAATATGCTTTAATTCGGTCTTATAATGTTCCTTGGGGACCACCACACTGTATGTCATTGGTCCCAAACCTTCTTTTTTTTTTTGGGGGGGGGGGGGTCATGGGGGCAACATATCTCACTGCCACAACCTTCGCGGGCCATATTAAGTCACTAGTATTGTAGGAGACCATTTTAAGGGAACCTGAGGGTATTGTGGGTTAGGACCTCGCGGATCACTTTCCCATCTTACGAGTCTCCATTTCTACAGTAACGTGCTTACCACTTTGCCACACCTCCGAAGCGCCAGTCTGACGTACTTCGACATCAGCTCGAATGTAATAGCGGAGCTCGAGGCTGGGTCGTCTCTACCAAATCTGACAAGTCTCGTCTTGAGTGAGTGGGAAAGCATCCAAGTCGATGACTCAAAAATCAATCACTATGTATTTCGAACTTTTTCATGCAGTTATCATTCTATGCATTTCATTCTCTATTCATCTCTATACCTCCTCCCAATGCACACGTTCGTAAGTTGAGAGGATGAGAAAAAGGAATGCAGGCGGCTACACGCGCAAGTCCTGATTGTGTTGTCTTCGTGGGCGAAAAAAATCCATTTTCACTTGATTCTTTAAGAAAGACGGTCGTGAACGTGAGCAGTTCGTGGTTGTAATCTGGTTCTCAATCATTCATGTTTCATTTCCGATCTCCCTTTCCTGCATTTTTTACAGTTTATTGCATATTTTATTTTTATTGGAAGAGAAAGTGATACTACTCGGTATTTTGGAACAATTTATGAAAGTGAACAGTCAATAAATATTTAATTGTGCGTTTCATAAACTTTCATGACATGAGAGAATATGTATCCTATTCAGGTCATTTAATGGCTTTTCAGTCAATTTTGTTGCATTTTCGCAGGTTATAATCCCATTTCGGAGGTCCCGCCTGGATTCTTCAGCGACATGGGGAATTTGGTAGAATTTTATTGTCTGTATTGCTCCCTCGGACCAACATTGTCGACCAGGTCTTTTGACTTCCACGGGGCACCCATACGATATGTTCTTCTAACAGGGAACCCGATCTCAACTCTGGAGTTGGATGCCATCACAGGTATGATCTCTCCTCTGCATCCACTTGAGGGGGGGGGG